CTTTTTAGCTATCTGTGCTTCTTTACAACTCCCCTGCAATGAGAAGGAACATGTGACTATCAGTAGGCAGAGAGTTTAACTGAACATTAACAAAAACCTGATTTTCTTCCACGATCTGTTATACTGTCAAAAAAACCACCACCAACACAAAACCAGAAACCCAAAATCTCTAGGTAGAAGCATAAGTGTGGATAACAAAAGCAGACAACAAAATCCCTGAAAGAAAATTCACCTATTGAAAAGGGGCCACCCCAGCAGCCACAACAAGAAAACAGTGTGTTACCATACTGAAAGCACGCTGAGCAGCATTTTTCAACACTTCTCTCCTCCCCTCCGCCTCTTCTTCCCACCCACCTGACTCTCATTTGCAGCTGCATGAATCCCAGTGGTCTCACTGGCACTGCGTGAAGTTAACAGATCACGTCTAGTGATCAACAACAGTGCTGACATACTTTACAGTGTGGGCTGGTAGGCACATGTATGTACACACTTCCCTCCTGCTTTTACTCTTATAAAAAAGACATGGATGTAACTATATAGACACCCATGCGTCAGTGGTCTGATACATGCTTCAGATTGACTCTGGCCCAGCAAAAGAAGGGGTAGCGTTTAACAATATGAAATAGAGTATTAGTTGTCATTTTGCCTAAAATGCCTGAGTTATCTGAGGATAAGGAATAAGGAACTGATACCTCTCCTGATACCTTACTATCTCATTAACTAACCTCTAACCCTAAATATGAATGTAAACAAGCAAGTTATATATATTTTAAAAATAAAAACAGAAAGCAGTTGTGACTGTGCAAGCTTGGTACAGCATCAACCATAAACACCATTACACAGAAGCAAAGCAGAACAGCATTTTCAATGACGTTTCTCCTCTCTTCCTACACTCTTCTGAGAATGCTTTAATCAGTAACTGGACTTGACAACGGGCATCATCTAATGGGGATATCCTTTGTCTAGGTGCCACAAGAGAAAGGACCAGTACTCTACTCAAGGAATAAGACTGCATGAGGCCTAGTACCTGTGGCTTGAGATGCTCCTAGTGAAAGAGTCCAGAGAGCCAAAGGACCTGAATTCATGGCCAGTATTGTGGTTTCTGAACTGTATTTTACAGAAACCAACAGTGAAGATGGAAACAGTACCTTCAAAGCAGCCAGAGAAAAAAAAAAGAAAATATAAAAAAACCCCATCACAATGATGAGATATTTTGAAAGCCTGACAATACCACAAGGAAGCTCGAAGCCTGATCTGCCATCTTTAGAGTCAGTTGTGACAGCACAGCATAGATGCTGGGTATTACGATTTGCCTCACTCCTTAGTTCTGTGGGCCATTTGCATGGTAAAAGGATCTTTGTCTCTGAGAATTCATCTACTCCCGCTGCTTACAGTCCTTGCCTGATGTCATAATCCTCCATCTGTGGTAACAGAATTTTGTTCAGAGCAACTAACAGGGATGTCACAGGGGATTAGGATTTTGGATTAGGGAGCAAAACGACAGAAGCACAGGAAGGCTTATAAAACATGGAGTTTGTGTTAGCACACACATGTCCTTTAGTGTTAATGAACAAGGAAAGAAAAGATGACAAACAATTTATATACAGCAGTAGAATTGGTTCTAAAATACCAGTGCCATAAGGGTTCAGGTCTATTTTTAATTTTATTCCTTTGGCAACACTTACAGCAGTCAAAGTATTAAAAGCAAAGTTTCAGAACTAGTCTTCATGTAATAACCTGACATACATCTGATAAATCACACCATACTTATTAATTAATAAAATATGCATGCTGACGTTAATTTTCTCCTTAAGTTTCCAACACCCTGATAACACTTGCTATTTCCATTAAGCACATTTTTGTTCAAAGGGCTTGCTTTTGTTGCCTGCCTGTAGCTGGGCTTGATGCATTGCCTTCTTCATGCCACATGCACAATGGAAAGGGGAGTGACTGGACAGCAGATAAAGACTAAAAGTGGGGAAGTCCCCAGTGCAGAAAAACATTCCCACTAGCAAAAGTGTGACTTGCTCAGTCTCCTTCTGTCTAGACTAAGCCTACCAACAGAGGCATCTCCTTAAGAATATGAGATGGAAAAGCAGAATTCTTCAACGATGTCCATTTGATCTTTGCTTCTGCATGTCTAATTTTTACTGAAACAGCTCAGTATCCAATGACTTGCAGGATCCAAGATCTTGTTGGGTCTCCCTCCCTGGGAAGGAGTCCAGTATTATACTTCCCATCCAAGTTACCTAGCTAGATGTATGGTTTGTTTATTAGTTTTACCACTAAGTATTTGAAGAAAATCACCTTGGAAGAGTACAGTACCCAGATCTATTATCCACATTCTGCTTGGAAAAATTAGTTTGTCTCCCTAACTCTTTCCTGCCATTTCATCTCTATAGTAGGTTTCTCTTTGCCCTGAAACTAAGAAATTTGAATTCTATTGCTGCACATTGCTAAAACTACCATGTTTCATCCAACAGGTGGGTGCATTTTACTAGCAAGAGAAGGCATTCCTTCTGTGTCATTTGAAAGCTCTTTGCAGAGAAAGGTACTTTAGGAATAAAAGACAGTATTGTGTTTATCATTCTTCTGAGTTACAGGAGGAATCAGTTTCTTTATACAACAGCTGCAAGATTGTAACACAGCTGGCCATGCTTTGATCTTAACTAGCAATAAGCATTAAGCTAAGCAAACCATTCTTGGTCTTGCACATAACACCTTCCTTTACACATCGAAAATTCACTCCTGTTGAAAGGAATCTACCATTTGTGTTAACATTATTTTCTCAATAAGACAAAGATCTGCTACAGGCAATGTTCAATGACACCATGGGTTCATTTTCACTCAATCTCCCTAAACGCTCCCATCTTTTTTCCTTGTGCCTTCAAAGAGGTTAGGAAGAGACAGGAAAGTAAGACAACTTTACTGTCTTAGCAGAATAAGGTGCTTCTTTTGCCCTACACTTCCTAAATTGCAAATGCCATCAAGCACTGAAATATCTCTACCACTACCAGTCAGAAGTTATGATGGGCAATTTATACCTATGATAAATCTACAATCTACTTCTGTCAGCACTCCTCCTTCATAACCAGTGATAGCCTGCTTTTTTTAATTCAATGTGCAAGCCGCCCAGTACAGCTCAGAGAGGCATCAGGTCTTGGAAACCATATGCACTAGGCAGAATATAAACCTGTTCCAGGACTCACTCTTAGTGCAGGGTAAGAAGGAAATTAAGTTAATCCAGTGAAGTTTTCCAATTTTAGAATAGTTTGGAAAAAAATATTTTCCTGTATTTTGAGTCACAGGTAACAGAAAGCAGGAATATCACAGAGTAACCTTAACTGAGCAAACTAGAACCAAAAAACCAAAAGGGATTTTCAAGAACTGCAAGGCCAGCTCTGTGAGTGCTCTT